CTACAAATTAATTTTTACAATTTTTTATTACACATTTTTCCATAAAAAGTCAAAAAGTTGACCCAAACATCCATATTTTTTTTCTCAATTTTTTAGTCTAAACAGACAAAAAATACACTTATTTAGGACACCCCAAACAACCCCTAAAATTTCTATGAAGAAAAATATTATGGATTCTAAATAAATTATTAAATTTTTTACTAAATCTCTTATATAGGTGTGGAATCCATACAAATTACATGTGGGTCTCATATCCACATGAGAGATTTGATGGTAGAAAATTTGATAATTTATTTAGATCCCTAGCATAATTCTTCTACCAAATGTTTCACATGATGTGAGCCAGATTCATATTGTGTGACTCTATATAAGATATTTAGTATATATTTTGATAAAACTTTTAAAATCTTTAGCATTACTCTTTACATAAAATTTGTATGATATCGATTTCAAATGTTATATTAAATGTTTTATTAAATATTTTATATGATGTAAAATTTATATAAAAAAAATATTAGAGATTTTAAAAGTTTTACTAAAATTTCTATCAAGAAAAATATTATTAATTCTAAATAAATTATCAATTTTTTTTATCAAACTTCTTATATAAGTGTGGGACCCACACAAATTACATGTGGGTCCCATACCCATATGAGAGATTTGGTGGTAGAAAATTTGATAATTTATTTAGATCCCTAACATAATTCTTCTACCAAATATTTCACATGATGTGGGTCAGATTCACATTGTGTGAGTTTCACACCTATACGAGATATTTGATATATATTTTGATAAATTTTTTAAAATCTTTAGTATTACTCTTCACATAAAATTTGAATGATATGAATTTCAAATGTTATATTAAATGTTTCATTAAATATTTTATATGATGTAAAATTTATATAACAAAAATATTAGAGATTTTAAAAGTTTTACTAAAATTTCTATCAAGAAAAATATTATGAATTCTAAATAAATTATTAATTTTTTTACCAAACTTCTTATATAAGTGTGGGACCCACACAAATTACATGTGGGTTCATACCCATATGAGAGATTTGGTAGTAGAAAATTTGATAATTTATTTAGATCCCTAGCATAATTCTTATATCAAATGTTTCACATGGCGTAGCTTAGATCCACATTGTGTAAGTATCACACCTATATAAGATATTTGATATATATTTTGATAGAATTTTTAAAATATTTAGTATTACTCTTTACATAAAATTTGTATGATATGAATTTCAAATGTTATATTAAATGTTTCATCAAATATTTTATATGATGTAAAATTTATATAACAAAAATATTAAAGATTTTAAAAGTTTTACTAAAATTTCTATCAAGAAAAATATTATGAATTCTAAATAAATTATTAATTTTTTTACCAAACATTTTACATAGGTGTGAGACCTACACAAATTACATGTGGGTCCTATACCCATATGAGAGATTTGGTGGTAGAAAATTTGATAATTTATTTAGATCCCTAGCATAATTTTTCTACCAAATGTTTCATATGGTGTGGGTCACATCCATACTGTGTGAGTATCACACCTATATAAGCTATTTAATATATATTTTGATAGAACTTTTAAAATCTTTAGTATTATTCTTTACATAAAATTTGTATGATATGGATTTCAAATGTTATATTAAATGTTTCATTAAATATTTTATATGGCTGTAAAATTCATATAAAATTTATATGATTTGAATTTTATATTTATATAAAATGTTTAGGTTTTGTTTGAGGTGTATTATATAAATATTAATCCAATTGGATAGTGA